AAATCTAAATATCCTTTTATATTTCATAATACACATAGCATTGTACACGCACGTACATGTACATTGTAATCAACAATATACACGTACCAAACAGACGATCGAGTGCTTGAAAATTAGGTAAATTAATCCCAACTTTAAATAACAAAACCTCTGTTAAATAAACGCAATGAGCTATTTAATCTTATTTAAATTCTAATTTTTCATAAATTATCAATCCTAAAAAATATTTACGATTCAAATAAAAGTATCTGAAAATATCCTACCTTTTTATAAATAGCCAAGTAAATATTTCCGGACATAAGATAGTGATTGCAATAAACATATGTGAGCTATAAACTTAATAAAACGATCAGACAATCACGTGACCGGAAACCATCTCTTTTGATGTTCTATGACCGGATAGCCATTGCAGTACTACGTACGTTATGAATAAAACTGATTGTTATCAAAAAGTATGATGGCTAAATATAGAAATATCTCAAATTTATATCAATATTCAATTACTTAAGAGCAGACAGTTAATTGCGGTGTTCTCATGAATACAAGATCGATTACGCAAAAAAATAACGCCTCTGTGCCGCCATTTTTGTGCGTTATTATGTTACATAACAAGAATAAGTGTTTCCAGAAATGTCAGGAGTTACCATTCAGTAGATTTTTTTCGTGTAATAGACTCTTTTGTTTAGTTTTTCTGTCGTTCGTTTCGATGTCTACAGTCTGATTGGCAAAGGGCATGCCGTGTATACGAGTAGAAATGGTCAAATCTTGTCAAAGGTATATATCGCCATCCAGGAATGGTGACGCAAAAAAAAATCTCTAAAAAAATCTAACTTATTGGTGCAAAAATGATACATGTATTGTCATTTGGATATATAAATGCAAGAGTTTGAGTGTTCACCCGGTGACATATTCTGTCTAAGCTATCTGGGAAGATTGACAGATGCATTGTGAGGTTATTATGTATTGTTATATGTTTTAGAGAAGTCTCGTATAAATAAATTTGGATTTATTCAGACTTACAATGCACTGTTTTATAGATATATAAATATTTGCCATTGTCGGGTAAAGTTTGATAAGACTTACAAATAAATATATGTGAGTTAAATGCTAAGAAACAGCAGCTAATCACATCAATAACTTTTATAAGATTAAGTTAAACCTAAAGAACATTGCTAGGATTTTTTTTCTGCAAAATCGCTGTGATAATTGAAAAGGAAGGTAGCTCTTAGGTGCATTTTAGAGGTTCTCGAAGTATGGACCGAGGAGTTGTCTTCCCTTCATGACTTCAATATGAACAATTATGAGTTTATGTTCAAATGTTAGGTATGTTCCTATGAATGGATGAGACTTTTAAAAAGTTTGAATAAAGATTAAATATTGATAAGAGTAAAACTTATTTTTATTGGTTCAATACACAGTTGTGAAATTATATTAGACCAGGCGCTAGCCTGATGTGAAAGAGTCCTATAGTAGGGCAAAGTAGGGCGGCATTTTAGAAATATCGCTTTGCGTTGTCGAGTGTCGCCGTGTTAAAAATCAGAATAAAGTTTCCTTTTAAAAGGAAAGGCTTGCTCAGTTGTGCCATCATCCCTTCCCTTTAAAATTGTTTTTTTTTTTTGTTTCAATTTATTATTACATTTTTTTTAATACGGTATTTGTATATCATAAAGGGTTTATATAGTTTTTTTTCTCGAAAAAAAAGGTATCACTTTTAAAGGGATAGGTAGGGTAAGCCCAAGACTGGACGAGCACCTGTGCCCATTTGTTTGAGCACCAGTGTTATGCGTGCAAATTTGGACCAAATAGGGACCAGAAGTCCATTGATTATAACTGCATGAACGGGAAGATGCTAACGATAACAGTAACAATTTTTTTATGTAAAAACGAATATTTTTTTTTGTCAAAAAACGATTCGAAATCTATTCTCTTTTTGTATAAAAGTAATAAAGAAAAATAATCAATCGTAAAAATACTACCATTGGCTCTCACGTGGAGAGATCAATCTATCATACTGAATGGAAACAAGTGTGCACATTTCATTTCCACTTTTTTCGCAGTCATTCGTTTTGGCAGTTGCTAATTTCATTTATATAGCAGCTTTAGAGACAAGTAAATGCACTAAAAGACTTCTTTAACGTGGTACCAATTAATAAGCATGAATCAACTATGTTACACCTAAAAGATCTATGGACAACACAGAAGATCTTAATGATATGCATGTGCTATTTTTAGATTACCTCACCAAGACGTTTAAACTCTGTCAGTAGATCTAAATATAACTTGATCATGCACTTATATTCTGCGTGATTCTGGTAAGCAGGACCGCCCTTTGGAGACGGAATACTACTACAGTAACCATTCTCTATTGTATAAAACTAATAAAGACAAAAACCAATTATAAAAGAAACCATCTTTTGCGTTGAAACGGAATCAAGTAAAAATAGAAATCCTATTTATATAAACAAACTGGGATTACCGAAGTAACTAAAATAGCTTAGATTTCCGTAATATTACTTCGTCTGATTCCGCAGTATGACGGAATCGCCCGAATTGTCACGATTGCAATCGGAACTACCTCGGCTATTATCATTAATCCGATGAGTGACGGAAAGGGCCGAAAAGTTGCGATTGGCACGATTGCAGCTGGTTTCCCGTTCAATCATGCACTAACAAATGTAAGCAGGAAACTACCTAACCGGAACAACTTTTCCAAAACAAATGTCTTGCAGCCGTGGCTGCAAGCCAAAAATAAATCGAGTGTCGCTTTGCATTGTAGAGCGTCGCTTCGTACTGTCGCATTGAATTGTCGAGTGTCATGGTAAACATTTCTGCTAACCCCGTCACTCGACATTACGAAGTAACAATGCGACAATGCGAAGTGACAATGGGACAACGCAATGTGATATCGCAACAATGCGAAGCGACGCCTGACAACGCGAAGCGATATTTCTAAACTGCCGCCCTTCTTTTCCGCGTCATTTTAGGCGACAATGCGATATATCGTTTGACATTGTCAAGCGTCGATTCGCATTGTCGCATCTTGCTTCGCGTTATCGTGCGTTGCTTCAGAGTGTTGCGATGTCACTGAGCATTGTCGTGTGTCGATCTTTAGACGCGACAGACGACATTATAAATGTCACGATAAGGACTATATACGTACCTATAGAATGAGTATTGATTAAAACGGCGTTAAAAATTGTAAAATAAAAGAGTTTCTTCCATAACAGACTGGCGTTTCCGTGAGTTTTACCCATGCCGGAAATTTCACCGGACACGGGTTGCTAGATGAATCACGTGCCATACAACATTGACATTCAAGCACATATTTTATGAATGAACCGCGTTAAAATGTTTCCAAGCAACGTTTATAAAGGGCCATATACATGATGATGGTGGCTGATTTGGTACACTTTGCGCGTTGCATTGTCGATAGCGACATCAAAACCTCTATCGTTACCGCCTTTTCGTCTTGTTGTTAGCGAAAAACGCCAAATGGCGCGTTGTCGTGCGGCATGTTAATGCAATGTCGGCCTGTCGCTTGGCTTATACAAAAAGCCAATCTTTAGATTTAAGCCGAGCGAAAATGTGACATCGCGTCAACACATCGCGTCTCACACTGCCTTGTACGGTCTTACACATCCTCTACGTCAGCAAGAATGGTACAAAAAACACAACTACCTGCTGCCACCCTACCAAGAGTACTTGCTGCATCACACTATCTGAATGTATTTGGACGTACAGAAGGAATACAAGAAGGGCATTCAGGCCCACCGACCACTCCAACTTATTGACCCTGATGAGCTGGAGGACCAACCGGCAATAACCATATCTCCCAAGGATTCAGACTTGGATGCTAGCTCGGTGGACCCTACACCAAGAAAAATAGACGCATTTTACATTGCTTCACATTTTCGTTCATTTATTGATGTTAATGATGTATATATAGGGGTTCTTCGATTTATGAAGCAAAGTCATCAAAATTAGTTAATTTATATCAAAACATACACGACTGTGTGATAATCAGAGCATAACTCGAACAACCTGTGAAAGTCGAGAAAATCGAGTAAAGTCGTGTAAATCGTACCAGACCGTACTTCACCGTACTTGGAACTGCACAACAGTCGTATGTATCCGTATGCAAATCGTGTTCAAACCTTGCTTGACCGGGTGTATCCGTGCTTATTTGGTACATGCTCGTGCTACATTCGAGTCTAACTCGTACCTACTAATCCCCAGGCACGGTTGGAGCTCAATACTCGTACCAGTCAACCCGTGTATAACCGAGTATACCGTACGGGAACCGTGTGTCCAACCGTATTTTGTGTAAGAAGGGCTTAATGAATTCTTTTCTACAGACATTTGCACTGTACCTCTTGCTCTTGCATGTACAGAAGTAATCAGTTTCATGCGAAAGTGAAGGCACCTATTACTGGTAAACTGCTTGACAGCCTGCCCAGGAACGATGCGGTTGCAGAATTGTGCTCAGGTTATTTCAATGTGACTTACTGCTGTGATCCGGAGTGAAAACTACAAACACCACCTTCTTGAAGTACAACTAGCCCGCATCAATCGGTTAGAGCGCGAGACTTGTAATCTCGACATTGTGGGTTCGAATTGAGGGCTAGCCAACTTAAATTACTAATCAGTCTTTCGGATGGGCTTTAAGTCGAGGTGTGACCATACATACACACACATACTTGAAGTACTTAATCAAAATCTAATGTTATGACTTTTCAAACATAAGCTAGCTTTCAGCACCATTTATTTTGTATTTATAAATGTAAATATGTTAATGACTTTTCAAACATAAGCTAGCTTTAAGCACTATATATTTTTTATAGATCTAAATGTACATATATGTTTTCTTTTACAAAAAAAGAAAATGAGTAATAATAAAAGGAGAAAGATTTAATATTTTAATTCATACATGTACATTGTATCTACACCATTGATATTTAAGCACAGTATATATAGCGCATCATGTGACATTAGACCATGTTACTTTAAATAGATCATGTGACTGATAACAGTGTGTAACTATTTAAAAGAACACTACTTTCAGTTTTGAGCACAACATTAATCTAAAGTTCAAAATGAGGATTTTATCATTATTTCTAGTGTTTGTGATACTGTACAACAAATGTGATGCGGACACTCCTGCTAATTGCACGTATGAAGATATAGTAGGAACATGGATATTCCAATATACTCAGGTAAACCTTTTATTTTCAAACAAGGAAATATATTTCAGATCAACAAAGTACATTATTCATGTAAAAGTAATTTGCTTTAACTATACAGGTAAATTACTCAGTTTAATAAACAGATACTGGAGACAGGTTATTAAATCATTGAGTGGCTATATACATAGTACCAGATTAACGCATTTTTTTTAAGTCAGGTGAGGATCCAGGGAGTTACCAAAAGGGGGTTATAAAATTTCGAGAATGGGGGAGAAGTTGTGACAAAATTTCCCTCTTCCTTATGGATCCGCACATAAATATCATGGTTAAAATATAGCATTGGCACCTTGAGAAAGACCACGCTAACTTTCACAAGATATTAAAGCTACATTTCCTGTATGTGGCTTCAAAATCATTTATGTCAAAATTCAAAACCATACGTAGTGGCACGACCCTGATCTTATTTACACCATGAATTTACTTGTCCCGTAATAGGGAATGCAGCTTCCCATACAGAGTTTATTCTTTCTTTTAGTCAAAGTATACATATTCAGTAAGAATTTCATAGATTTCAATAAATTTCTGTAATTAAAATAGTTTACTTAAAGATGAACATGGTATATATTGAAGATCTTATAAGTCTCTCTAGCTGTTCGTTAGAATTTTGAGTACCCAAGGTGACAGAGAAGATTTGTTTTAAACAATGATGAGAATTTTAAACACTTGTTTACAGATTGATGGTGACAACACAATTAACTGTACCACGGAGACAAACTATGTTTCTGCTGTAAAATTGACACTCGATTTCCCAGATTTAGCCGTAGATCAGGATGGAAATACAGGTTTGCTTAAATAATCTTAAAACTTTGTTAATAAATAATTGATAGGGACTTAATGTATTGACACGTGGTAACGTTGTACCGTATGAGTTGGACCACCCTTAAAATAGCTTTGAGAGGGGGACGGGCGGTGGGTAGGGAAAATAGGCGGGATGTTTTCAGGATCAAATCTGAATTATGTGGATTTAAAAAAAGAAGAAATTCTAATGGTAAGCATCCGTTCTATGTTTAGAACCAAAGTTTTATTCAATATGCATCCCTTTTTGTATATTTACAATGCAAAAACATTAAATAAATATAAAAAGATGTAATTGACATTGACAGACTTTTTGTACATCATAAACTTTTTTTGTGAGAAAAGGGGATCATTCTATTTTAGACTGTTGTTTTTCAAAAAACAGGTTTCTGGACATTGATCTATAACCAGGGATTCGAAGTTGTTATTGGCGGTAAAAAGTGGTTTGCTTTCTCTTCTTACAAGACGTATGGACATACGGTGGCGAGTATGTGCCATCTCACATTCCCTGGCTGGGTGCATAACACAGATGGACGCTCGTGGAACTGTTACGTTGGGGTGAAACCCGAAACCACAAACATAGACAAGCTAGGCCAGGAGCACAACATTCAAGGGAAGTCTGCCTTCAGAAATTCGGAAAGCTTTGTGAATGGTTTGTTTTCTCCAACTTTATTTATTTATTTATTTTTTTATTTATTTATTTGCTTTCTTTTATAATCGTAACTAATGAATTTCACGTAGAAACTTTTTTAAATTTATTGCTCTGCATTACCATTATCAAAACCAAATCCATTCGCAATCCTTTCATTTTTCACTACTATTTTTATTAAGATATCATTTGATATAAATTCTACTTATTATTGATTTTCATTGTTACATTGTCATATCTTCACTGGTGACCTTTCAACTTAACACAGGAATAAATTCCAACCAGTCCCTGTGGAAAGCTACCAGCTACAGACAATTTGAAGGCATGCCTATGGAAGATATTATCAAAATGGCGGGTGGGAAAGGGTCGGCTAACGCCTTTCCTAAGTGTGCCCCAGTTGAAAAGAAGCATTTAAAAGGTATGTGTAGAATAAAGTGATATCTATTTGTTGTTGTTTTTAATAATAAATAGAATTGTAACACATTAAAATGCTATTGATTTTATACCGGGTGATGTTTTGTTAAAATTTCTTTTCCTGCATAATACATGTATGCCTTATTAAAAAACATGCCTGTCGTATAAAAAATGAAAATTAACAAATCTCAGACAATGATGTATGCATAAATTTTGTTTTTCTATATCTACAGGCACATTATTTAGGAAGAACAAACATGAGTTGTGTAACATTAAAATAATTGTTTTAGAGCATGTTAGATGTTCATTACCTGAGTAGCACTGAAAGTGAAAATATTTGTCATAATAGAAGCAAAATGTAAACGACTTCCATACAAATTACTGAATCACTATAACTGAATAATTTGCTAGAAAGCAACAGAAGCAAACGATGGTTCAGATTAGGTAAATGGCCAAAGAATATAACCTTTTTGAAAACTAAAACAGAACAGCAAATGCACATGTATAAAGGGCTTTTGAAAAATAGGAATATAACCATTTCTAGAGGCATATTGGACCCTAAGCAATTGATTATTTTTTTAATTATTTACAAATAAGGGATATTTTAAGATAAAATTTTGAATTTTCAACAGTTTTGTCAACAAGGAAAAAGGTCTTTACATTCGGCCTCTATTTTTTTCTGAATACTGAACTGGTATACTGTAAATCTGACGTGTAAATTTACATGAAAATTTGTTGACGCATTCGAAAAGAAAATTTTCTTTCTGTCACAGTTTCGAATCTGCCAAAACAATTTGATTGGAGGGACCAGAACGGCGTTAACTATGTTTCACCAGTAAGGAATCAAGGCTCTTGTGGAAGTTGTTACGCCTTTGGATCAATGGCGCTGTATGAGGCTAGACTCCGTATAGCGACAAATAATACGGTACAAAAAGTATTCTCCACACAGGATATAGTCAGCTGCTCACAGTATTCCCAAGGGTGTGACGGAGGTTTTCCATACCTTATTGCCGGTAATGATTATCTTATAGTAGATTTTATATCAATTTTGTTTTATTTTCTTGCAGTACTAGTATATGTCAAAACTTTTCTTTCTTAGAGACAATTTTCGTTGGCAATTAGGCAGAATAAACTGCACAATTTCATCTCTGGGAAACAGTTAGGCTGTAAATTTGATTGTATTTCAGGGTCTTAATATTTATGTGATTCCTAAACCCATCACAAACCCATGCAGATTGAATGTGGACGACTGTTTCAAAGGTGGTGTTATGAAACCCGGTATGAAACATTATGTTATTTCAGGGAAATATGGTCAAGACTTTGGTATTATTGAAGAAGAGTGTTTCAAGTATACAGGAGAGGACTCTCCATGCATACAGACTTCTTGTAAACGTTATTATACACGTGACTACTACTATGTGGGCGGGTTCTACGGTGGGTGTAACGAACCGTTAATGAGGGAGGAGCTAGTGAAAAATGGACCAATAGCTATCAGTTTTCAAGTTTACAATGATTTTGTTCATTACAAGGTTGGCATTAACATAATTTATCAATGTATTACAGAATTGATAATGTGTCTCATATGAAAATTTACTTGAAATAATCAATGATAATAATTTCATATCAAATATATTTAAGTAATCTTTGTTCTAGATTGAGCATGAACTTGAAAATTAAGCTAGATCTGCTAAGAAAGCTAGTTGAATCATTGGTGCAGTCACATTTCTACGAATGAAAATCATCTTTTAGAACGTCAATTACAGTTTGCCACACAGCCATATGATAGTTCTTATTATAGTTATAAAACATTTTCGCCAGCATGTTATATGACCAAATATAAAAAGGTTGTAGGCTTCTATGGCCCGAGCTGCCTGCCAGACGATGGTTATATGGGATTTCAACTGCTTATACAACCATATAACCTGACAAAATTTATGTATTCTTTGAAGTATGATACTGCCTCAATGCATTTCTTTTAACCCTTTACCTCATATATACGCGAAACAACGCACTTTCGACCCCCCCCCCTTTTTAGGCCCGAAATAGTGAAAAAATGTCCTATTTGGGCCCATAGCACATGTTTTCGTTTGAGAAATGTTGCTAAAAAAAGTGAGCACATTTTCGGCGCCGCCCCCTATCCAAAAGATACATCAGGGGGTCGCCAGAAGGGGGATGTGCGGAGTCCCCCTCATCGCCAAGAAAATTTTGGACTTGTGAGAGGCTTAAAATGACCCCAGGTCGATCATAAGGTAACGTGTATTCCAACGCTGAAAAGCCTTTGACTCTATCTCAATCCCTTGAGAAGTTGCAGCACTTTGAAATAAATTTTGATGGAAAAATCGAGGCAAAATAGTGATTTTTGGCAATTTTGAGATGTCCCCTCGTTGCCATGGTAACAGGAAATTTAAGACTGAGCATGTCGTTACAAAGGCCATGGTTCAGTCAACATTTGTGCCAAGTTTGATTAGTACTGAAGCATTTTGCATAGTTTCATAGCAGTTTGAACTTGTAAGAGGAGGCTTTTCAGTGAAAATGGCCATTTTTCACAATATGCTCATGGGGGAAAGGGTTAAGGAAAAAAACATTGATATGAATTTACAGCAGTCATGCATATAAATAATAGAAACATGAAAATCCAAATAAAAAATGACGTTATAAACGTTCAGTTTTTTTATTTAGAAAATATAGTTAATAGTTATATTTCATTGATGTGTATTACGCATTCTGATTGGTTAATATAATAATGATAGTTCTTCATACATATATTTTTTTTTCAGATAGAGCATTATTTTTGCGGGTTTTATATTTCAGATGCAAGCTATTTACTTATAATTCACAGTTTTTTTTATTAATTTTTAACAATAAAAAGAAATAAAAGGCAAACCTTATTTATTTCAGAGTGGTATTTATCACCATGTTGACCTGCTGGACAAGTTTAACCCATGGGAGATCACAAACCACGTTGTTTTAATAGTAGGTTACGGGGAGGAGCAGGGTGTTCCGTACTGGATCGTGAAGAACTCCTGGGGCACAGACTGGGGAGAAGATGGGTTTTTCAGAATTCGTCGGGGAAATGATGAATGCAGTATAGAAAGCATGGCAGTTGGCATCGTTGTTGATCCGATCACATCTTAACATTTTTTTCCACAAAATATTGAAATTGACACGGAATACTGTGATACATTTTTGCAATGGTTGTTGTTGTTTTTTGCACTGATGAAGTGATTGTATCTATGACATATTTAATACTCTATCATCAGCTTGTGTTTAAATTACTAGTATTATTTTATGTTCGTTTCCATTGCTGTGTAATAGCAGTAAAAAATCTTGAATTGTTAACTGTGTTGGATTTTATCACGTGAATTATAATGCTATGTATAGAAAACGGCCTAAGACAAAATAGTTTTAACTAACTTGGTCATAGAAAGAAAACTACCAACCAAAAAGTCACGACGAAAATAATTATAGAAAATGGGTAGAAATAACCACCGTTAAGTGTTTTTTTTAATAACATTTAATCATATTCATGTATTTTGATTTAACAAATAAAGGGCTCCAGAAAAGAAACGCTTATCTCAAATTTTTGGACGTTTCGTCAACAATTAAAATTTTCGGCTGGCTGAAACTGAACATTTGCTGCCAATGCAAATTAATGGCCCATGACAAATATTTACCTCGAATTTTGAATGTTTCGTTCAGCCTGTATATCGTTCTACATAATATCTTCAGCTTTGTGCAACTTTCTGCTGAAAATGTGGATATTTTGTAAACTCTGTCTAAATATTTTCATGTACCGCAAATATTCAGTTGCTCGCTGCTGAAAATATTCAGTAAGCTGATGAAACATTTAAAGCTCGAAATTAAATTATGTTTGCTTCACTATTAAACATGAATGAGACGTATAAATATAGTTACACGTTTTCAGCCGAAATAACAGTTGCAGGCAGCTGTAAAAATGAAAAAAAATCGTGCGCCGAACTAATCATTTTATGCTGAAATTGTCATCTTTTTTCACAGAAGTCCAAAAGCCTATATATCATATCGTAAAATTTTACTTTCTTATGTAGATTAACTGGATAGCTTTAAATAGAGAGATATTCAAGAGATAATTAAGAAATAAACTCAGAAATAAATTGAAAGTCGTTTATGTGCTATTTCTAGCCATATTTGAGAAAATAGCGTCCCAACGTTTTCCAGTTTTGGGTCATTTTTCACAATTAGAATGGTTATTCTTGAAAAAACGGAGTGGGCGAATGGTCTGAAATTTTGTACATAAGTTATTGGTCTAGACCTACATCAAATTGAACATTAATTTAGTCTCGAACCACTTCCAGCCCCTTTAGGTAAAAAAGTCCTCCTTTAGGAGTCCCTTAATATTCATCTGAGAGAAGTAGATCTGGATTGTCCTCTCGCGTTTTGGTCGATTCGTCAAACTGTACAACTTAATATGATTGATATGCTGACGATCAGTAACTGTTTATCTTCTTGTGAAGCTAGTTAGAATTATCAAGAGTTCCGCCTTGATTAATACTGTATAGTTCTGGATATTTTGTGTGGACGTACCAAACTGAACATTTTCTGCTCATAGTGTGAAACTTGTCATCTTCTAGTATTTGAATGAAGAAGATCATTAAAAATATGTTGCTTTAATTGCGTTTTAACCCGTGACTTAAACCGCTGTGCGAATGCGCAAAACACTGTCTACGGAAATTGTGTAAGTTACATTTCGCCCCCTCCCTGCCATATTTTAGTGAAAGAAAAACTTGATCTCGGAAATTGGACGTTTCTTCTCTTCCCCATGAACAGATCGACGCGCACGTGCTCTTGAATACTCGAAATATTGTTATGCAGGTGGAATTGGATGCAATATTGACTAAATAAATATGCATATACATTTGAATTGACTATATAATCAAGGTACCACGAACACCTGTGCGGAAAAACTGATGTTTTTCTATATAAAAAGTTCGAACTTTCAAAACTGGTTTTCAAACAATTTTTACAATACCGCGTATATCAGCAAGTTTCATATGTAAAAAAATGTTTGAAAACCAGCTTTATCGTTGTAAAAGATGTCCCATTCGTGTTTAAATATTAACACGGATTTATATTACTGTAAATCCGTGATTGGCGCGCGCCGAAGCGCGGCGCCTTTTATGTAATGAAATCAGATTTTGTGAAAGGGCGACAGCAACTTCTCGAGCCTTTTATAGTTGTTCATAAACATAAATGGATTTTATAGTGATCATTTATTTGGTAACAAATCGCGTAATGCCCATAGAGGCAGATATAGTGGTGGTATAAGTGTGTATTTTAAACAATTTCTAGGAAATAATATAAAAATAGTGGAAAAAAATCAAAATGGACTTATATGGGTAGAACTTGGTAAGAATCTTTTTGCATTCGAAGAAAATGTTTATATTTGTAATACGTATATTACTCCAAATAATCTTGTACTTGTTGACAATTATGATTTTGACTTTTTTGAAGCAATAGAAACTGGGTTAGAGAAGTATAAATTACAGGGTAAATGTCTAGTTACAGGTGATTTTAATAGTCGTACCTCTGATTTTTCGGAAATATTAGATTATGACATGTATATTGATGCAGACGATATATTGTCGAATCACCCATGTATTCCTACGCGACACTCACGCGATAAGGTAATTGATAAAAATGGGAGGCGCTTGATTGAGCTATGCCAATCAACGTCATTCGTCATTGGTAACGGTAGATTACACGATGACCTTGGTACAGGTGAATTTACATACCATTCAATGAATGGATCGAGTGTAGTGGACTACTTGCTTTTAAATATTCATGATTTTGATTGCGTCACAGATTTTCAGGTTTTACAACCGAATGAATTTTCTGATCACTCGGGTATCTCGCTTAATATTCTAAGTAAACAGTCTGCCCAACCATTAAACGATGAATCTAAAACAGAAATCATATTAAAATGGGATGACGATAAAATAATAGAATTTAAACAATTATTATTGCAAGACGAAAATATATTCTCAAGACTTACAGATAGAGTTAAAAATAACGAGGATATAAATGAAGTGACGGATTTATTTGTTAATAGTTTAAAATTTTCGGCGCAAATGATATTTGGTAAAGAGCGGGCCATTTTTAAGTCAAAAACTCGCGAATGCACGTCTAGAAAAAAACCGTGGTTTGATACAATTTGCTATAATACAAGATTAGAGTTTAAGAGAACTAGGAACTTATTTTTAAAAGATAAAACCAATGATAACCTAAGACAACAATATTTACGTTCAAAAAATATGTATAATCAAACGATAAGAAAAAGTAAAAAAATATATAAATTGGGCGAAGCTAAAACGCTTACGAAATTAAGTAAGTCGCAACCGCGCAAATTCTGGAAAAGGGTTAAGAAACAATACGCAAAAAATCCTGTTCATGCTAATGATTTAAATATTTCTGATTTATTTAGTCATTTTAAGAATTTATATAGCGTGGAAACGAATGACAGATATCAAGTTACGAATCTAACGTTAATAACAGATGATGATTTAGATGGCGTTTTATCAAACTCGGAAATAAAAGAGGTTTCTTACTCCAAAATAATAATAAAAGCGCAGGATCGGACTGTTATTTTGGAGATCTATAAACACTCATTAGATTCTATTTCAGCATTTTTATTAGCTATTTATAATAGAATTTTCGAAAATTGGGAAAAATGTATCTCACTAATTTGGGAGCAGGTATTACTTTATCAATTTTTAAAGGGGGAACTGTTGAAGATCATAAGAATAACAGGGGCATAACCCTGCAAACATTTCTTCTCAAATCGCTTAATCGCCTAACCAAGTGGTATGTTAAACATTTTAAAATTATTGACAATCAGTTTGGTTTCCAGAAGAGAAAATCCACAACGGATTGCATATTTCTTTTACACTCTATAATCGTTAAGTCATTATCAGAAAGAAAAAAATTATATTGCTGTTTCCTCGATTTCGAAAAATGTTTTGACAAATTGGATCGAACATTTATTTTTCAGAAATTATTGTCAGAAAATGTAAGTTCAAAATTTGTAACGGCTATAAGATGTATGTACGCATCCGTTAAAGCTGCTATTAGATATAACAATACAGTCTCGTCTTTTTTCGATTCAAATATTGGCGCAAAAACAAGGGGACCCCAGTTCCACATTATTATTTTTATACTTCGTGAATGATATAGTAGAAAATATAAATTCCAATATAGAAGACCTTTTTTAAAAATCGACGACGCTAAAATATTTCTGCTGCTCTTCGCGGATGACGCCGTTTTATTTGCACATACGCCTATGGCACTCCAATCTATGCTAAATGATTTACAAGTATATTGTCAAACTTGGGGACTTAAAGTTAATACTAATAAAACAAAAATTATGATTTTTGAAAAAGGCAGACATACAAGTTACAATTTCGTATATAATGACATAGTTCTGGAAAACGTAAATTTTTTTAAATATCTTGGGATTAATTTATTTAAAAATGGACATTGGAATAGAACTCAAAAGAAATTAGCACAACATGCTTCGTTTTCATTGCATAATTTATTTACAGTGTTTAATCAATTAGAATTATCTATTGGAGACAAATTTAAACTTTTTGATAGTATGGTAGGCTCAGTTTTAAACTATGGTGCTGAAGTTTATGGATATCAAGAAGGAAAAAATATAGAAACGATCCATTGTAAATTTCTCAGAAAAGTCTTATGTGTTAAGAAAGCAACAAACTTGGATGGTCTTTATGGCGAAACCGGTAGACATCCAATGCGAATACATCGTAAATTTATAATGTTAAAATATTGGACAAAATTAATTAGTTTACAAAATGACTGTCTGCTTAAACGTATGTATAATGTCTTAAAATTTGATGCAGAAAACGGTCTTTCTTATGGTGGTAACAACTGGGCATGCCAAATTAAACAGATTTTAAATGATATAGGAATGTCGAACATATGGATTAATCAAGAACATATAACAATAAATTTTCAACAAGTTAAAAATAGAATATTGGACATTTACAAGCAAGAATGGTATAGTAATATAAGAAATTCTAGTAGACTATCGTCATACAGCATCTATAAACGCTCACTCGAAACTGAAGACTATCTTAATAAAGTTAACATAAACAAATTTCGAATATCACTTACAAAATTTAGATTGTCATCCCATAACCTAGCAATAGAAACGGGTCGATACGAAAACGTAGCGCGAGAAAACAGACTATGTACGAATTGCAATTTAAACGTGATAGAAAATGAATTCCATTTTTTGCTAGTTTGCCCCAAATACTATAGTTTACGTCGCAAATATTTGAAACCATACTATTGTCGTTGGCCATCAATTCATAAATTTGAAAAACTAATGTCTACAACAAATACCCAAATGTTGAATAACCTGTCAAAATTTTTGTATTTTTCATTTAAAGAAAGAACTGACAACATTTAGTATATTTTTGTCTTTGTCATATATATTTTTTTGTATTTTTCACATGAAAAAAGGACAACAGTTATTACTTTACTTGTCAAATTTTTCGTATTTCTCATTTAAAGAAAGAGTTGACAACAATTAGTAGGTTAAATTTATTCAGTTGTCAATTTTTTTTGTATTTTTCATCTTAAGAAAAAACTGACAACAGTTAGTATCTTGTCAAATTTTTGTATTTTCCATTTTAAGAAAGAAATGACAACAGTTAGCATCTTAAATTTATTCAAGTTTTGTAGCACCAAATACAACATTTCAACTTTGTCAAGGTCTTTATATTATCAATGATGTTCTTCTATTGTAAGATAACAGGAACTTAAATTTATTCAAATTTTGTAGCAACAAGAACTTTCTCTGTAAAACATTATGGTATTTATATTGTATATCATGTTCTTACATTACATGATTGTTTACTGTATTGGCTATAAATGTATATTGTCGTTTTATGCCAAATAAAGAATATGTTATGTTATGTTATGTTATAATAAAAGCCGATCATTCCGATCGGTATGAGGGTGCTTGATTATTAATTAGTCGCGATATGTACAATGAATAGCGAACTGGAGAATTTCGCAATGCAAACATTTTCAAATTAAATAACCTTTTCCGTCAATAAATGGCGCTCTTCAAGGTATTTTTATTTATCATTTTGTAGTACACAGTGGATTATTATGGTATGTTATTCCGAAAGCTGTAAATAGAATGATGAGTTGATGACCTAAATATTCCGAAAATCTATTTATAGAGGGATGTACTCCTGTCGGTAATTCCCGGTCTCTCCTGGTCTATTTTGACGACCGGCGAATAGTACCAATCGCAACTACTCGGCCCTTTCCGTCAGTCTTCGGATAAGGACCTCGAACACAATAGTATGAATACACAGAACGGATGCGGTATTCCGGTCTAACCTACGCTAAGAAACTAAACATGTAAACAAATAATAAATTTAATGCTGGGAGTTGTTGACACGTTTATTTCCAGTATATGTAGTAAAAGTCCACCTAAAGTAAGTGAATTCATAGGTACAAAAGCAAACAATACATTATTTATATATTTACTTCTATGGCTGTAGAAACCGAAAGTACAAAAAACCAACCTGTTGACATTTGGTCGGATTTATTTAAAATTGAACATCTGTGGGCATATTTAAATTACAAATTGTTGTCAGACATATTTCAAGCATAAGAGGACCGGAACAGACATTAGATCTCAAATATATACATTCGTTTTACATTATCTCTGTTTCTGTTTACATCTGTAAACCACGTGGTAGAACTACTTTCAATCCGTATTGTTTCCGAGGTTAATATTATAGATAATAGCCGAGGCAGTTCCGAATGGAATAGTACCACACGTTTATTGTCCGGTCTCTCCCGGTTTTGGAGTAGATGTTTGATATCGTTACAGAACAGAACAAATATTTTACAGATAAATAAGCTTTTTTTCAAAATGAATGTTTGTCACTTAGTTTGGTTACAATAATTAATAAACACAGATCAACTCTCAAAATTATTGCTTATTATTATACATAAACATACAATTCGAAAAAAAAAAAAAACCAACAACACAAATCGCATGTTTGAGATAAAAACAATAAATATGAACAATAATTGAGAGAAAAAATGTACATTTTTATAGCATTAATATGACACTATCAACTTTGAAACATTTTATTTAATTTGTTATTCGTGTTTAAGCCTCGGTCTCACTTACTCCCGGCAGAGCCCAGGACCATCCCGGTAAGTTACCGGGATGATCCGGGACGATCCGGGATGAAATTATTGTTGCGGTCACACTTACCCCGGCAGCACTACGGTAGTTCCCTACTAACCACCCCGGATGCGCTCCGGATCATCATGGCAGAACCCAGGTGAAGCTACGGTTCATGCCGGTGCTTCCCCGGTCGTTCCAGGATGACCCCGGAAGAGCCCCGGTTGACCCAGGCAGAGCCCCGGTCGATCCAGGCAGAGTCCCGGCAGAGCCCAGGACGATCCAGGCAGAGCCCCGGTAGAACCCCGGTGAATTGAAAACGCCCGAAAATGATAACATTGATACATAATTTTTATTTAATATAATATCTATTGTTCCAGAATAGTAATTCATGATGATTTTCTGAAAAATCCTTATGCCATACTGGATAGAAGGGCAATGGGAAGGCTTTTAATACAAGCAAGTGCAATCATCGCAAATTGTCGTTATTCTTTTGAAATGATCCGGGCTTTGCCGGGGCTCTACCGGGATCAACCGTAGCTCTACCTTTATCCTCCGGGGCTCTACCTGTAGTTACCGGGGCTCTGCCGGCATTTACCGGGGCTCTACCGTAGCTCTACCGGCTATATCATACCCCGGATCATCCCCGGTTTGTGCCGGCAGAGCTACGGTGCTTTCCCGGTATAACCCCGGTCGTTCCCGGCAGAGCTAAGGATGAAGCCGGCAAAGCTATACCTTCCCGGATCATCCCGGACCACCCCGGTGATATTAAATATTTTATTCCATCCGGGGTCGAGTCCCGGATGTTCCCGGATCATCCCGGATCATCCAGGACGTTGCCGGCAGAGTTACGGATGTACCCCGGTTGTTCCCGGTAGTACCCCGGTCGTTCCCGGATCACCCCGGATCTCTACCGGGGCTCTGCCGGGATGTAAGTGAGACTGTAGCTTTAGTAAAGATGCCGAGGAATTATTCAAAGTTACAAATCAGATTTTATGAATTATTCAATTGATTGATAATTTAAGAAATGATAAAGAAAAATACAAATGTACATGTATATGGTTTAAGAATAAACAATATTATATATTGAAATATTAACCATAATTTACTGACTTTTTCCAGTTAAGTTTTGACTTATAATCGTCGGTCATTATGACAATTGAATTCTTAAAATAATAGTAAACGTAAAAACTCAGTATTAAAATAGTGCATAAAACACAAAAAAGAAAAGAAAACAATATTCATAAAATCTGTATTTTTTTTATTAAAAAAGATATTACAATTAGTGTATAATAAACATTTATGCTCAACATGGTAATATAACAAGTGTCATATTGTTACTAAGTGTGAACAGATACCTTAAGAGGGGGTCTTCGCTAATAGCGAAGACATAATAAGGGACAATTACACAAGTGTGGTGTTGATCATGCGTTACTCATATGGATTATAAATGATTGTATACATGTATATCCGTTGCTATTAATAATCACGATCATAAAGAAATAACAAGTAATATTCTAATTTCTAGCATGCCAATCAAATTTATAAATAATGAACAATGTCTTTCGTTCGTTCATTCATAAGTGATATACAATTCTGGTAAAAACCAATGAACCATTGAACAGTTTATCATCATATATCTACTAGTTCATCTGCACCTGCTGCATTTCTTGCTTGGACGCCCTTTGATGCTTTGCATCAATGCTTTTCTTGTTTTAATTAAAATACAATGTATTTTTGATAGAGTGTTTACAGGGGCGTATCACGTTCGGGACCCTGTTGGCAGTAGAAGCAAGATTCAGACCCAAGACAAACAATATCAATATTCAGAATCTAGCTTTGGCACGGCAATATATTTTGACTATTCCTGGCCACCAAATGAATGACATTTGGAAACTCTCGCTGATTATCCGGACCGAGTCAAAGAGCCGAAAAATTGCGCTTGTTATTATTTACCTGTACACCGTTTACCTGACTCACCTAAGTCACGTGATCAACGTTTACATTTCCGGGATTTTGTAAATTTCGTTTTGAAAAGAATAATGGTATAAACTATGACTTAACTGTCAAAATGCTCCGTCCATGGTTAATATTTGTTATAACTTTGTTGTCAGTTTATTTATTTCACCGTGTTGATGCGGCATTCTCACATAAATACAATGTTCTGACGAGATGTAACCACGGTGAAGTTGAAGGATTCTCTATCGCATCTCACTATGCAGCGTATGATAAACAGAGGATAAATGTTTTCTTAGGAATTCCATATGCTAAAAGAATATCAGAATATTCGGACTGGAGAAGACAGTTTCGGTTTAACGTAAGTTTTCGTATAAAATGGTACATCCATTTAACAATTAAGTAAACTACCTGTAATTAAACAGGTAAAGGTAAACAAGAAAATGGTCGGGGCAATCTCCTGGAATAGACCCTTACGATTGGGTCATCCCTATTCATGTCAAGTCAAACTGATTAAGACTAATATTAAACAGTTATTTCATATGTGATTTGGGAACAGTTAAACTGTTGGCCTGAGTTGGAGGGGGTAGTGTTTCGAACTGTTGCCCAAGGCCGTAAGCCGAGGGCAAAGTTCAAAACACTATCCCCTCCAACTCAGGCCAACAGTTTGACTGTTCCCAAATCAGGTATGAAATAACTGTTTTATTAGGGAATTTACCTGATCAAATACTGTTTAAATAGTCACACTTGCAGAAGATAAAGGAACAAGAAAATAGTTGTGCACATAATATGTTAATAATTAAACTTAATACTTTAACTATGTCACGTCACGTCTGGTATATGATCAAGATCGATGAAGGCTTTAAGTGGGAATCCTCTACGACGTCAGAGCATGTGTGGGAAACAGTCAAAATATTGACCGGGAACCAGGACGTTTTTAGAATTTCAGAAAACAGTAAAAAAATACCAAATTACATTTATATATAATAAAATATATCAACAGATAGATTGTCAATAATCTGTAATTTTGTGACAATGTAATTATTCTTAATAGTAGGAATTTATTTATTTTAGGCAGACACTCGGCCACAATCATCGCTTAAGGGTAATCCCAACAGCCAATATATTTTGACTAGAAGACAAGTGTTATATATATATAGTGTCAGACCTATATAATCACTTTCATACTTCAACCAAATTCAAAGAAGGGTAAATTTATTAGACAGATTCAACAGGTTAAGAGTGAAGGATGTCTTTTTTAAGATTACTTTAATCATTATACTACATTAAATTTGAAATTATTATGATTTAATTTTAGAAACCTGAGAAGCCGTCATGGACGGGAATTTGGGACGCCACCTATTACCGCCCAGCTTGTCCTCAGTTACCCTGGCTTGTAAAGCAGACGGTACCTGGCTTCAATAGAGCACAGAATACAAGTGAAGATTGTCTATACATGAATATATTTGTACCAAATGTAAGCTCTACTCTTTTTTTTCTTCTGACAATTCTTCTTTTACCTCGATCTTTTTTTTTCTTTAAATTTGATATAAGCATAGAATTAGTTTGAAAACAGTTACACTTCTGAACTTGCCCTAAAACAGCAGACTACCATACTGTAAAATAACCCAGGAGTTACCTTTTCCTATCATTAATATTATACCCCAATACCTCTGTTACTTAACAACCATCGTAAAATACATGAATTTTGTATAGAAAAAAGTACTTTCTGCTATTTTAATCTGATTGAATCATTCAATTTGAACACTTAACAACATTTTTCTTCCATGACAACAAGTTTCAAGTTTTCACGAAATTCGTACAGATCTTGAACAAGAGAATAATGTTGAAGTACTTGCATGTTTTTATCAAATACATGCATGTATGTGATTTTTGTGTCGCCTTGAAAAAGGCGACATATAGGTGTTACTTTTGTCGGCGTCGTTGTCGGCGTCCCCTTAAGCTTGTCCGGAGCATAAGTCAGTCATTATAAGTCGGATTGACTTCAAACTTTGCATGCATGCTTCTTACAATGACCCAAAGTGCAGTGCACAAGAACCTGTACTCTGCACTTCTTATTTTTTGAGTTATTGCCCTTTGTTAATTTTCATACTTTATTTTTGTCCGGGCCATTTCTCCTAAAGTATAAAAGCTATGGACTTGAAACTTCATAGGATGATAGATCTCATTAAGGAGAAGTGCAGTGCACAAGAACTGGTACTCTGCATTTCTTATTTTTTGAGTTATTGCCCTTTGTTTATTTTCATACTTTATATTTGTCCAGGCCATTTCTCCTTAAGTATCAAAGCTATGGACATGAAACTTCATAGGATGATAGATATCATTAAGAAGAAGTGCAGTGTCCAAGAACTGGTACTCTGCATTTCTTATTTTTTGAGTTATTGCCCTTGTTAATTTTCATACTTTATTTTTGTCCAGGCCATTTCTCATAAATTACAAAAGCTTTAGACTTGAAACTTAGTAGGATTATAGATCTTATTGATAAGAAGTGTAATGCACAGAAACTGCTGCTCTGCATTTCTTATTTTTTGAGCTATTGCCCTTTGTTGATTTTCAAATATCATTTTTGTCCTGGCCATTTCTCCTAAACAATATTGTTCACAAGGCGACACATCCGACTCGCGGAGTTCTAGTTTTAAGCTGTAATGAATTTCTGTAGAAAAGAAGTTATTTATTTCTTTTTTCGCTTTTCTTTTCAGAAAACAGATGAGAGGCCAGTGGCTAACCCACCCCTATACCCTGTCATGGTATTTATCCATGGTGGAGGCTGGACTATGGGTGCCTCCCAACAATACCCGGGCATAATTCTCGCAGAACGAAAAGTTGTAGTGGTAACATTCAACTATCGTCTTAATGCACTTGGTATGTCTATAATGATTATATAAATTAATTAGTTAGTCATTTCAATAACCTTTATCCGATCTAATTTGTTCGTCATCATTGAGTAAGAAACTTTCATTAATCAGTATATACTATAGTAGATTTCAAAAAGAATGAACCAACATAAATCTAAAAAATAGATTGGGTAATTAGTCAAAGTGTTCCTATTATTTAAACCATAGC